GAGAATTGTTTCATTCAATGTTATAAAAATCGGTGAATCGTTTATGTAATTGGGCCGATTTTTATATTGGACCAGCCGTGTTATAGAATCGGTGCGACTTGGTCAATTTTCGTAAAAATTGGTGTCCCGACCCGATCAGTTCAATGACTGACTCGGTTCATAAAAAAAAAATTAATTTATTCTCATCAATTGATGTCTTTCTTTTTTTCAATCTCACACACAAATTATTTGTTTTCTTTTGAAATATTTAAGTGATCTGTAGTTTATTAACTTAATAGATTATGTACCTATAACATTAATATTATCTTGGTTATGCAATATGTAGAAAATTTTGATTTGATTTATATATAGTTAGAGATGTCATCTATTGAACCTGAAATACTAGTATAACAAATATTATATGTTTGATTAATCTTTTATTGGACAATGATGTGTAATTTATTATTTTTCATATTAAAATATTTAAAATTGGTATCATTTTTGAACATATATTTAAGTATATTTATATTTTTTAATATAAATTATAAATGGCTTTAATATTTCTTCAGTGAATGTAGATAAGTTATCTACATTCACTCCCAAAACGACGTCGTTTTGGATTAAAAAATTTAAAAAATGTAATGAAAAAGACTATTATAACTCTTAAATAAATTATAATTATAAAACTATCATGATTCTCGTCTCAAAACAACGTCGTTTTGGATTCAATGTAGATAACTTATCTATATTGACGGCAAAAGATACGAACCCGTTATAAATTTACATATACTTATGAAATTATGTGATTGAAATTTATTTAAAAAAAAATTAAGGTTGAAGATTTATAAAAAATAATACGAGCGAGCTTTCTAGTCCATTGTTTCAAGAAATAAATAGTCATCCAATGATATACAAAAGTTTATTGACACGTGTTCTTAAAATGTTTATGGTTAGAAATTAGTGATGAAAATTGATATGTAGTTTTGGTATCAATAATACACAAGTCGCTTTGGCCGAGTGGTTAAGGCCTGCGAGCTTTTTAGTCCATTGTTTCTAGAAATAAATAGTCATCCAATGATATACAAAAGTTTATTACACGTGTTCTTAAAAAGTTGAAAAGAGTGTTATCCAAAAAAAAAAAAAAAAAAAAATTTGAAAAAAGTTATACTTATAAATTTTTTGTTTACAAATTACATTACTTTAAAAAATACACTAAGTTGCATTATGTATTTTTGAAAATACATAATGTAATTTGTAAAAAAATTTGTAAATTGATTTTCTTTTTAAGGTAATGGTTAGAAATTAGTGATACAAATTGATATAAAGTTTCGGTATAAATAATACACAAGTCGCTTTGGCCGAGTGGTTAAGGCGTGTGCCTGCTAAGTACATGGGGTTTCCCCGCGAGAGTTCGAATCTCTCAGGCGACGATCTGTTTTTTTATTTTAATTCAATTGTCCCTCGATTTTCGCGTATAATAACCCACGTCTGACGGTCCAACAAAACAACAACATCGACTCTATTGCGGACAGCTACCTACCTGTGTTGGAAAATAGCATACACTCATCGTTTGTTTATTAGTAAGCTGACCCCTTTCTTTAATAAGTACATATACCTACTTACAATACATTACACATTTGCATAATTTTTAACATTTAGTTATGAGTAATTTATATCATTTTATTATATAAACACACACATACACACACTTTAATTCTACCATACACTTTAAATGTGATGTAATTTGTTCTAATAAAAACCTGTAAAAAACTTTTTTTTCTTCATGTTTTTATTTATACCGTTCAAAAGAAAAGATTGGCTTCAAATTCAGAGCGAACGAAGGTTCATCATCACGCCTTTTTTTGTGCTAATGTAAGGGACCAAAGTTGATTGAAAACAATGTCACCTTAACAACCTTGTGAGCAATTAAACAAAAAGTCATGATTAATGTTGGACTCTTCTCTCATATGGCAAAAGCAGCCATTGGATGTGTCTGAAGTCGTCACATCGACACTCGCATAAGTGTAATACAATAATTACTAGCAAAATCATTTTGCATTCATTTAAGTTGTTGTCATTTGACCACGTGGAAATTAAGATGAAAAATTTAGAGTAAATTTTACATATTTAAAACTGTGACAATATCGAAAATGAAATGCAGGTAATTAATAATAATACTCTTAACCTTAGATTATTCTCACAGTATTTATCGAGTAATGATAAATAAAAATCATTAATTCATTATTTTCTCCGCCACACGAAACGAGCATGTCATTTCCTTTTCTTAAGATTTAGGTACATGACAAAAATCTCGAATTTGGTCCTTCTCGTTATGTCATGACTCATGATTGATAAAGAGGTTCTTCCAACACTAACTTTATCAATGATTTTAAATTTTAATCATTCCCAATGCGGTTCGTTTTACCGTACCCCCAGACCTCGATCGTCGTCATGCTTGATCGATTTTGATTCTATAATTATTTTTATTTTTTGAGTTAACACAATCTTAATTATTTCTTTAAAATAAATTGATTTCTCTTATATTTTTATAATTCACAAGTTTTAATTCTTTGAGTTGTTTACGAGTCTAATCCGAAGTGTTATTGAGTGAAGGTTCTTTTAATGATTTATATTATTCTCTAAGAGTCCCATGCCCATTGAGTTTAAAAGGTAGATGTTACATCATGTTCAGCTTAACTGTGCAAGCTGTGCTAAGAAATTTCACACAAAAAATTAGGGTGGGCAAGAATCGAACTCGGAACATCGACTCTGATACCATATATAAAGAATCATCTCAACACAAAACTTTAAGGGCATGTTTGGTGTATAGTATTGTATAGGGCCTGATTGTATAAAACTTAATTAAATTTTAATACTATTCATCGCTTGGTATGATATTGTATATGGTAATATCATCCAATATTTTAAAAATTAATATATTAAAAAAATTAATATATTAATATTGAAATGATATATTAATTCTTGAAAATTGTACTTGTAAGCAATATTAATACATCAATCCCTTATCAGGCCTAATCTCACCTCCTTAGGCCTGATTAAGTTATACATCATTTTGATGTATTAAGGGGTTCTACTGTATAAACTTATACTATACGATGGTCACACCAAATAAATGAAAATGTCATAACGTTAGTGGCAGAGCCACTTACATCCTGGGTATGGCCTTGGCTCGGGTTAAATTTTAACAAACTATATATAATTATAATTAATTACAATTTGGCCTGGGTTAAAATTATAATTTGGCCCGGGTTAAAATTTGTAATTTGGCCCTGTTTAAAACTTAAAATATTTTTGGTAAGAGATTTGGGTAAGTTATATTAGGTTATGTGTTCAATTTTCACTTATATAAAAAATAAAATAAAACATTTTTAGTAAAATTAAAAAATATTTAATAAAATTATAATTCTTCTTGATATTGTATGCTCAGGAGCTTTGTATTTATTAAAAATTACATATATTATTATATGAACCAACTAAAATTAAAAAAATAAATACACTTATAATTTTTTGGCCCAGACTAAAATTTGAGCCCGGCTCCATCGCTGCATAACGTATAGTATAAGCTTATCCTATCAAGCTTTATACATCACATCAAACATGCCTTAAGGTGTTGGGTGAATGCAATTTTAATGGTTTATATTACTCTTTAATACACCTCTCACATAAAAGCTCTTTGAGCTTGAAACGTGGATATTGCATAGGCCCAATTTTATTTTATTTTTTGATTTTACCTTATGCTTATTTAATTCCACAAATCGAACTCATGACCTTATGGTCACTGAAGCTCTGATATCATGTAAAAAATCACTTCAACCACCCAAAACTTTAAGGTGTTGGGTGAAGGCCTTTTTAATGATTTATATTATCCTCTAACAAGATGTTTAAACTCCTCCCAAAGGTGATATGTGTAAATAGAATCAAGGCTCTTTTCTTTCTACTTACTCAGCTCCCTTGCTACCAACTAAGCTACCATGATTTGGTGGATTGATTGTGTTCGATCCCATGTTAAAATAATTCAGAAACACACGTGTTAATTATGGCATGGGATGTTTAATTATTCCAATTGGAAATGATATCGGAAAGCACTTTCCATTTCCCTTCCCTATCTCTCCGTTCGTAATCCAACTCGTCATTTCAAATTAAGTTGCTTTAAATTCACTTCATGATAACTATTCGATACACAATAACATATTTCTCGTTGCACTGATTATTTGCCACTATTTAGCTATACTTTAAAGTTGAAAACCAAAGCTGAAGTTATAATTGCACTTGGAATTTAATCTTTAATCTCAAACTAACTTTCTTATAATAATATGATGAAAATCCACAAATCAATGAAAAACTAACCGACTAAGTACCTATTAACCGTGATTCACTCATCACCCATTGTGGACATATTCTTTTGATTAATTAAACCCTTCAAATTCATACACAACCACGAATTGTACGCAAATCTGGTTGTTGCTTCCAAAATTCTAAAAGCACAATCATTCAGCATTATGATCTTAAAGACATTCAGTTTGAACAAAGGATAAGTATTGTAGAACAAACTTATCACTAATAGTGGTATTGTTTTGTACATCATATCCCAGGATAACTACGATATATAAATAAATAATATATATATATATATATATATATATATATATATTTATTTATATAATTAATTAAACAATATTTAGAAGTATTATCCATACAATAGTTGAACCGAAAAATAATGATTAACGGTCCATGCACATTTCTTTTCACAAGTATGACGGATTCTTGTAATTAACAAAGTGACTTCAATTTCATCACAATTATGTAAAATTCACAAGACTAATTACATGATCACCATCCAAATATACATGACTGACTTTTATTTCAGACCTACCTTGTTATTCAGTGAATTTGCTCCCCCAGAATAACGGACAAAAATTCAAATATTACAAGGTTTTATGGCGGTGCTGAAGAAGTTTCAATAATAATGACTAGGCAATATAGGATCCTCAGAAGACTTAAAAGAAAGGGAAAGCTAGCTAGGGAGAACACTCTCCCATTAATGCATCAGTTTGAAAAATCAAGAAAGGGAAAGGAGGAAATATCTTTCATCAAGTCCTCCAAGTCCCACTCTCCCATGTTTAACTCTTCTTGAAACAAATTCTCCACCCCAGTTCTAATTTCACCTCTCTTATTGTTGCTAATATTGCTGTTATTAATAATACTGTTTATGTCATCAAAGTAACTATTGCTATTAGTATCTCCTTTGCATGCACTCTCCACTTTCAGGTTATGGTCAGAAATAGTGCTAACACTCTCTAGAGGAGGAACACACATTTCCCCTTCTGCCCCAATATTTACATTCCCAAAAACTCTATTTTCAAAATAAAAATCTTTGCTGTTAACTCCACTCTGTGAGAAACATGGCCCTGTACCGTTGAAGAATCCACCAAAAGCTGGCATGTTTAGTCCATGCTCTATTATAGGAAACCTGTCAATTATGGTATTGAGAACTGTGGTTTGCACTGATGGTGATGGAGATGAACTGAACATAGGCATAAAGTCAGCATGTTGATGATCTTGCATAGAAGTAAACCCTCCCATATTATTAAGGTCTTTGTTATGCTCATATGAGGACTCGCTTGTGTTTGGTGAGGTTGTGGATGACAAGTTCTTGAGTCTTTTCTTTATTGTTGAATTCCAAAAGTTCTTAATTTCATTGTCGGTTCTCCCAGGTAAGCGTGCCGCTATTTGAGACCATCTTTAAAAGTGAAACACAATTTAATGTCATTTTAATACATAGCACAAAATTAAATTGAATTGAGTGGGTGACTATGTATATGTTTCTTTCCATCTATCTATAACTAAAAAAAAGAATGCATGCTTTGCATGGAAGCTAATAAATTTTTTTAAACGATACAAATAAAGAAGTGTCATCAAGTCGAAGTCAAGAAAAGACGAATCACAATGCCTATCTATGTTATTTTCATTAGTTCTTTTGTCCGCTACAAGGATCCGCCTAGACTTATATATATCATTATTATTTATATTTAATGCATGTTTTGAATGTATTTTTAACTTTGAATTATTTGTGCCACATCTTAGACCATGGAGAACTAGATTTTGACACCCAAACAAATTTTTGCCTGTCCTTTGTTCATGCAAGGTATTTTAGAATAAGTAATGTTGCAATATAATTTTTCGGACATGCGATGACTTTGTTGTTGACTTTCTTGCATACTTCTATGTTTTATAAATATAGGCATTTTTTTATGGGAAAATGGTGTCATGGAATTTGAGAATCTTACAAATTATTCATATATTTTTTCTAAACCACACCCGCATCCGTACCTAGTGGCTAACAAATATTGAACTTTTGAAATGGTATTAAATAAGACTTTCTTTTTTCTTTTCAGACACTAATAATGCATCTACCTCTTTCACTTTTTCAGATAAAGATGATGGCTACAATTAGAACGAGCTCTAATGGACGTTAGAAATGCCAGATACACTTAATACTTGGATTTACATAACACAAGGGCAGCAATGACGGAGTTCTTAAATATAATACAAAAGTTTTAAAATATTATTTAATTAACGCAAAATCACTTCTCATCTTTTTTTGCAGCAACTCAATATAACTATGTATTAAGGATAATATATAATTATTGATTTTTTCTCTCCGCAACGTCAGTCGATAATGTCTAAGGGAAAAAAAAAATAGCTTTATTATTATATTCATATACTATTCTTAATATATAGTTATAACGAGTTGCCGCAAAAAAATTTCCTTATAGGAGAAGTGAGCGACTCTTTAACTAATTATAAGTTCTTTGTAATGTTAATGATGCATGGATCCAAATTTGGTAATAAAGATAGATAAATTTATGGGAGAGAACATATAAGTATAAAAGACAAAGGTGGACCTGTTTCCAAGAAGGGAATGGAAATGGATGATGAGTTGTTCTTCTTGGGGTGAGAATGCGCCTCGTTTAAGATCAGGCCTCAAGTAATTGATCCATCGAAGCCGACAACTTTTGCCACATCTTTGCAAGCCAGCATTTCTGGCCACATCAGTCCAACAACCTTGTCCACTGTTTAGCATGTAGTTCATGAGCTTGTCATCTTCCTCTGGTGACCACAACCCTTTTCTAAGCTTGTTATTGGAATTGTTTTTTGGAGATGTCTCAGGCTTCCTCATATTGTAAGCCTGATCCGGACCCAGTATTCCTCTGATGGGTAATTTCCTATCCCAACAAGTTCGATGTAGATAAGAGAAGGATTTATAGAGAGAGAAAGATAAGAAAGAAGCTTCATGGGTGGGAATGATGATGATGATTATGATAATGATGGTTGTGGGGTTTGCTTACAAAATAGGGAAGAGTCAGAGAGAGAGAGAGAGATCGAGGGGTTGGGTGACGAGTCTAGGTAGAAAACTGTTTTGAGAGGGACCTGAGGAATTGAGATAGATGGTGTCTTCTTGTCCTTGACTCCATGTCCTTGTCTTTTTTTTTCTTTTCTAATTATTCCTTCACTCACAAGGTAATCATCATACATGAATCATCGGGTGCCAGACGAAGAAATATTTGTACATACGAGTTTGTTTTATAACCAAGTCAAGTTTTTTTGCTTCCACTTCACATAATCTCTCCCTATGTACCCCCACACGTGACACGGTGTATGTACGTAGTTGAAGATATTGAACATATATCAAAGATAATAAAGAATAAAAGTTATGACTCACCCTGAACAATAACGTCTATAAGTTATTCTGTTAATTAATTTTTTGTGCATAAGATCCACATGCACATACTTAAGCTTCATTACATAAAAAGAAGTAAAATCGACTCCAAATATGTATGAACATATATATTACATACGCCTTTTGTGAGCAATCACTTCTATCTATGTTAGTTGACTAATAAGCTATAATTCCGCGTACAAAAAGAAATAGAGGTTTGTTAATTATGTATTTGTATTGGTTTTATAAATTTTAAGTTAGGGTACATGAAGGTCGGGTCCAAGGGTAGGGTAGTCTCAGTATGGCTGCACCAACAATGGCTAAGTAATTAAACACATACATAGCAGATATAATTTTGTAGAGGACTAATGCTGACTTTCATAAATGGTAAACCAAATAGTTTATTAAATTGAGATTGAAGGAAGTGATTCACTTTATCCTTCTTTCGTTTTGTCCTGTATATTCTTTTCCAAACAAAGGTGAAACGTGCTAGAAAAAGAAGAAAGAAACGGTGCAACAGAATATTGACTTTTCCAGCGATCTTTTTAAAACAAGGACAATACATATATAGGTGGGTTATATATATATATATATATATGGGAATGATATACTTACTACCAAAAAAGTTTACAACCTTTACAACCAACCTAATCACAGTTGATTTTCGTCAATCTAACAGTGATTATTTATTGAAAATTATTGGGTCGCATTAATTAATTATTAATTTCTAATAAATTATAACCGTTAGATTGACAGAAATCAACGATGAGTAAGTTGGTTGTAAATGTGGTAAACTTTTTTTATTGTAAGTATATCCTGCCCCATATATATATATACATATATATATATATATGAGACAGGATCCTTTGACACTGGTGTCAAATTTAAAATTTGACACCTCATCTGAGAGCCGTTAGATCAAAAAAGATCAATGACTTTGATTTGTAAGCATGTAATACCATTGATCTTTTTTTATCTAACGGCTCTCAGATGAGGTGTCAAACTTTAAATTTGACACTGATGTCAAATGATCCTACCTCTATATATACATGTGAGAAAACTTTGAAGAGAGATCTTATAGCTATGTACTTCAGTGAGTACATAGGTATTATATTAAAGTTATATTTTTTTTCACTTTTCATGTCAATGGACAGTTTCTAACTTCTGAGGAGAGAAAAAAAATATAACTTTAATATTATAATTATGAGATAGGTTATTCTGCCTACTTTTTTTTTTTGCCTACAACTCTAAAAGATCATTAGATCAGAATCTTAAATAATATTTATCTTTCTTTCTCCTCTTTAGATTCTGATTTAACGGTGTTGGAGGGTGATAGACAGGTAAACAAAAAAAAGTAGGAAGAATAATATATCCCTATAATTATATACTTCCCGAAGTATATAATTGTAAATAGGGGTGAAAGTGGGTTGGACTGGGTCAAACTTTGCCCCAAAAAGCCCAAGCCTACGTCAAAAAAATTCAATTTGACCTGGCCCAAGCCTAATACGAGTCTAACTGTTAGCCTGGCTTGGCCCATTTATAAAAAACACAAATGACCTGGCCTAGCCCGTTAGCCTGTTAATTTTTAACTTCCAAACAAAACCATGAATCAACTTTACAAAATACTCAAATTCTGTTGCTAAACCAAAAATCATAATTTCAACGTCCAAACAGGATAATGAATCACAACAAAACTCATACAATCTGCATTTAAGTCAATTTCAAAAACAAAGTGTTCAAACTAAATAACATATATTTCATCGGATCCAACAAACAAATCCATACTATATAAATTAAAATAACTACATGAATCCAACAAACAATCATGATGCTTGTAGTAAGTATAATATCTCCCAAAAACCTTTTAATATATTCATATACACAATCTAACATGATGAGATGTTCGTTCCTCCTACATAAAAAATAAAGTCAGATTTCTATTAAAATATAATCGAATATAATTAAGTTATAAATAATTGCAATTGATTAAATTTATATCTTTTGTTTTGTCTTCAAGTCATAGTTATTATATTCTATTTTTTTTAAAATAAATAGTATAATATAGGCCGACCTGTAGGCTTATAGGCTAGGCCTTGTAAAAGTGAGCCTACGTCCTTTTTATTAAACAAGCTTTTTCAAGGCCCAAGCCCGGCCTATTTTACGAAATATACTAGGTCAGGTCTGGCCTGACGTAAGCCGAGCCGAAGGCCCCTGTAGGCCGGCCCGGCCCAGTTTCACCCCTAATTGTAAGCAGTTAAAACGATACAACTTACAAACTTTAAAATAATAAAATATTTTTCATATATATATATATATATACAGGAAAATATTAGCCTCATGTGATAGTAGATAGCAAGTTTCTCCTACACACTCAAAAAGGTTTGGGATCCACTTAAATTTTTTCTTCTCTTTCCTAGTATAATGAGACCCACATGAGTTTGTGAGTGTAACATAAAATATCTTATCTCCTATTGCATAAGAAAATCTCCTATTGCATAAGAAAATATAATATATATATATATATATATATATATATATATAATATATAAGATAAAATTATTTCTGCAGCCGCTTTACGTACAACAATGACAGGTGTAGGGTTATGATTCCTCATATTTAATGGTTTCATCCTTTGTATGGTTATGATTCCCTGCATTTAATGCTTTCAAGTATATATATATGGCAAGTATTTGATTGCTGCACGTACAACAGCTGCAGAAATATAAACCTTATATATATATATATATATATATATATATATATTGAAAAATATTTCTCCGGCAAGTTGATATAAATTTAACTACGGCCACTCCAAAACTATGTCATTTTATTTATTTATTTTCTTATATTAATTGATTCAACTTTGAATCATTTATGAGTAGCCGGAGATAAATTTAACTTCGGCCACCCCAAAACTATGTCATTTTAGTTATGATTCTCTTTTTCTCTCTCTTTCTTCATTACCATTGATCCATCTTTGTACGATTATGATTTAGTAGTAGCCGGAGATAAAATTATCTCAAGCAACTTGAGAAACGCGATAAGCCATATATATATATATATATATAGAGAGAGAGAGAGAGAGAGAGAGAGAGGTAGGATCCTTTGACACCAGTGTCAAATTTGAAATTTGACGCCTCATCGGAGAACCGTTAGATCAAAAAATATCAATGGTGTCACATGCTTACAAATCAGAGTCGTTGGTCTTTTTTGATCTAACGACTCTCAGATAAAGTGTCAAATTTCAAATTTGACACCGGTATCAAAGGATCCTGTCTCATATATATATATATATATATATAGGGTCAGGATCATTTTACACCAGTGTAAGTTACACTCTCAATCTTGTCCGTCGATCCCAAATATATCTATGGCTCTAATTTTTTCGTAATGTTAGTCATTGGATACGAATGGATCAATGGTCAAGATTGAGTGTAAGACTTCTAACTCTTACACGGGTGTAAGAATATCCTACCATATATATATATATATATATATATATATATATATATATATATATATATATATAATGAAATTACAACCCGCAAAACAAAGTTGAATTGGACAGCCAACTATTTACTCTGTTTATGGAGATTAACACATTTTGCTCACGTAATTATGATAATATACAAAGTTGAATTGGACAGCCAACTATTTACTCTGTTTATGGAGATTAACACATTTTGCTCACGTAATTATGATAATATCGAAATCCACGCACATCGAAATCAAAAAGAGAAACGGAAAAGAAATTAAACAAAATGAATTACCGTTCATCTAATATAGGTTATATCTAGCTTATCTGTACTATATTTTTTTCACTGACACTCATTATAAGCCACTCATGACAATTTATAAGAAAATATAAATTTGATTTAAAACCCTAATGGTCCTAAGCCTAAACTACTAAAAAAAAATAGGGAAAAGTTCACCAATGCACTTGTAGTTTGTTTCAGAATCATTTACACCCCTGTGGTTTTTTTTCTATCACATGTGCCCCTGTGCTTTGTAAAAAATAAGAAACCACAGGGGTATATGTGATAAAAAACATACCCTTTTACAAATCACAGGGGCATAAGTGATAAGAAAAAAATCACAGGGCATAAGTGATTCTGAAGTAAACCACATGGGCATTGGTGAACTTTTTCCAAAAAAATACAATAAATCAGAGGAACCTCAATTGGCTTTTTGCTCACTTATTTATGAAAACACAAAAATACAATTATTTAGCGGGATCCCAGTTAACTTTCTGTTCACGTATTTACAAAAATACAGCTATTTAGCGGGACCCAGTTGATTTTTGAGTTACCCAGCCAACTATACCGAACTATGGGTCAGATTATTTTCCTTATTTTAGAATAAACTTCTGACAAACCTACTATTCAGAGGAATTGTGGTAGTTAAAGTGATGGATGTAGAGGCTAAACACTTCTCAAAAGCATATTGGATGATTGGAAGGACCATAA